CTGTAACCCCAAAACCTCCATCACTGGGGGCATCCCTGCAATGAAGGCCTGACTGACTCTGGGAAGCAGTTCACTGCCAGGACCAACTGGCACAGACCAAAACGGCTGCTTCCATCAGCAGTGAGTGCAAGTGAAAACCCTGTGGGCACCTGGGGAATCTCTGCTCCCAAGCTCAGCACCACATCTAGCACAGCTGGGCAAAGACAGGCAGGGGTTACTAAGAATACATACATAAAATAAGGGAAGGAGTTGGGACTGGCAGAATCCCTGCCCCTGGATTTCTGACAGGCCCTTACGAAAGGGTACTGGAAATGCCTCCTTAATGAGGGGGCTACGGTCTTGTCAGCATGCTCATTACCTTCTCATAATATTGGATGTTCTTGTCAGCCATTCCCATGAGCAGCTGCCGGAAGTCCTGCCTCTTGTTGTTCTGCCACCTCTCCATATCAGCTTTCAGATCAGCATTGAAACACTCCATCCGATCCTGACATTTCTCAACATCTGCTGGCACCTGGAAGGAGGATGCATAAATGGGTGTTCTGTACATGTATTAATAACTGGTTTCTCATGCCTCAAGCTCCCCTGCTCACACATTTGTGAAGGGCCAAATTACTACAGTAAAATGCCACAAACACACTCTCTCCTCTGGAGCCATTTGTTTGAAGGTAGAGCCTAGGGCTTTCAGGTCTAAAAAGGAATTCTGAAAAAAAGCTATCCTGACCCAGATCTTCAAACCCACCCAAGCACAACAGAGGCTCACGGGGAAAGCATCCCGCCCCCATGCACAAACAGGAAGAAGAAACACTGCAATTCGGTCATATATCTTTGGTTCCTCTTTCATTTTTTTACCCATACATACATTAAAATGTGCATAAATTTTGCAAATATCCAACAGTATTTGGTATTACCCTGCTAGTCTCCTGTTTCCCATAACAAAACCAGAAAAGAAGGTTTTCCTATATCATGTGAACTATTCCATCACTTGCGAAGCTCGATAATGCCTATCCTCATTAATCAAATAATCAATTGCATTAATAGGACTATTTGCTGGCTTTCTCCTCTGAACCCCACATTACAAATAAACTGGAGACTTGTCCATGCGTCCCAAGATAGCAGATCATCAAAAATGAAAAGTTAAAGTTAGGTAATTCTTGGGAAATACGAGGAAAATTATTTATGTGTGGCAAAAGAATCTCAAACACAAAGAAGAAAAACATAACAGGCTCTTTCAAGTTTTTCTTAAAGAAATGCCTAAGATTTTCTCAAAATGGAGCTATGTCACCTGAATTTCACAACTTTCACTTTGCATTGGTGAGTTTTGGCCATCCTAAACAGCTAAGAGAGAGCATACAATATTATGAGAAGGTAATGGGATATGATTACCCTGGTTACCAAAGCACAAAGCTACCTTCTCTCCTGACTCAAGAGCTCCACTGGGCCTTGATGGTGACCAGGGGATCAACATGCCCAAAGTTGGGTCAAACGTCCACCTGTCAAATGCTTCCCAACAACAAATGAGGCCTTGTACACTCTGTGTGCTGGGGCCTGTGAACCCCAATGTCTCTAAGCTGTGGATCACCTTCAGGGTCAATCTCTACCAACCAGGCAAGTTTTATACCCAGCCCTTATGGGCAAGGAGCTGACCCAGAAACATCAATAATGGCGAGGTCAGGCCTGGGGGAGCTGGACACTTTCAGGGCTTCCAAAAATGCCGAGGGCACTTGGCCATCTGACACCAGACCATTTGGAGATGGCTGCGGTACACAGAAACAAGGGAAGTGAAGCAACCTAGGTGAGTGGGTTCAAATGTGCCTGGCATGGGAACTAAATTTGGGTGAAATGAGGATGAAATGAAGAAAAAGATATAGTGAGGCATCCCAGGCAGCTTAAAAGGAAGGAACTTCTTTTAAGGGGGGAAAAGAAACCTTCTTCAAAGCACTTAAGCTTCTGGGATTAAAAAAAAAAAAGAAGACTTGACTTTTTCTTCTGATGCTATGACTGAAGTCACTTTTGCCTTTCCCTGCTGATTCATCCATTACTGTTGGCCACCTCAGGGGAAACTGAAATAAAACAAGACTGCCCTGGTTGTGCTGCACCCGAGCCATTCCCCTACAAAGGTCCAGTGAACCAGCCTCAATGAACACCCAGTGAGCCAGTGTCTCTGGCCAGGCCTCACCTCCCTGTAGGCACAGTCCAGTTCCCTTATTCCTCTCCTGGGCACTGCTCGTTTTAGCATCTGAGTGACAGTGCCTGGCACTAACTTCCTGTTTGCTATACAAAATCACTTCAGCAAAGAGGAAAAAGGAACGCCCTGAAAAGAGAACCTTGTTGGGGCACATGGAGAAGAGGGAGGCGAGGCTGTCTGATTCAAAGACGTTCTTATGTAGGAAAGATTCCTGGGTCTGTTCTGGGGATGGGAACTCTGGTTGACCCACAGAAACTGAGAGTCGGAACCATAGCTTTGGATTTTATGATTGCCTGAGCCTCGCTTTGGGAGGTATTTTTGGTTTATCATTCTCACAACACACTCCATGTTTGGCAGTGAGGAATACGAAAGTGCTTAGGTCTCAATAGGCAAACTTGTCTCAAGTCGCCTACGGTGTACCTGGGAAGAAAATGAACCTGCCTGGACAGCAGGTGAGATGTTATGAGTGCTTTCACTTTGCTCTTGAGTCCATGATGAGCGCACTATGAGGCAGAACTGGAGAGTGAGTCCAGCTGGAATGAGGGATTAGGCTTCTTTGAAGAAATACCACTGAGTCGATTCTTCAAAGATGATAGAAGTGGAACATGTGATGATGGGAGAAGGGGCACTCTAGAGGGACAGTACATGCAAGTGACAGAGTGAGAAAATAACTAGACCCACCTCAGGAACAGCTCACAGGCCAGAGTGCCCATAAAGGCAGAGAGACAGAACTCCAGCTGGCAAATCTGGTGGGCGTAGAAGATAAAACGCCTGGGACTTTTCCTGAAGGGCAGGTTTTGTGAGAGCCATTCAATTCGTGTCCCCCTTTGGAAAATAAATAGGCTTTGTGCTTCCTCTAACTATATAGACAGTTATGGAGCCAGACTTCCAGAGTTTGAATACCACCTTTACCACTTACTAGATGGGTGGCTTTGGGCCTCTCTATGCCTCAGCTTCTTTTTCTAGATAATACTATCCCACAAGGTTGTTATGAGGTTAAATGAGACAGAATGCATAAAACACTGGTGCCTGGCATATATTAAACACTCAACAAATATTTGCTAGTTCTGATCAGTATCAATATTATAAATTGATGTTCACAAAAGATAATCTATCAGCTGCACAGTTCCTTAGGTCAGAATATTTTATTGAGTTGTAGTCTATGTCTTAAAAAAAAAAGGAGGTTACTTTTCCATTCTCCAAATATAAACTATTGTAATATAATTAAATATGTTCTTTCAAACTTCATGCTACTCTTCACCCACACTATCCCACCCAGGATTTCACCAGAGATCAGAGATGAGTCAACACCAAACTATACTATCATAAGATCACCCTCTGCGCTCTGGAACCAGGGCAGTGACTCTAACACCAAAAGGGAGAGGATAGATTAGACCAACGTGGTGGAGACAGAACTGACAGATTTGGCAACCAATTGCACGTGAGATATAAGATACAGAAAGTCAGAGAAGAGCCTGACATTTCTAGTTTGAATGACTAGGGTGGCAATAGTCTATATAAGGCTCAGGATTAAAGAACAGGTTCACAGACCAGGCAAAGGAGGTGGATGCTACCATGGGAAGGGGGAGACCCACCCTCCACAACAAGGTGCTAAGACAGCTCAACAACAATGAAACCAACAACCCGATTTCAAAATGAGCAAAGGATTTACATAGACATTTGTCCAAAGAAGACATACAAATGGCCAACAAACACATGAGAAGATGCTCCACATTACTAATCATGAGGGAAATGCAAATCAAAACCACAGTGAGATACCACCTCACATCCATTAGAATGGCTATCACAATAAATAAATAAATAGGGCCGGCCGAGTGGCTCCGCTGGTTAAGAGCTCACTTGGGAACGCCAGCTCTGAGCAGCAGGGCTGCAGTTGGGATCCCACATTGAGGGCCAGTGACACTGCCTTCTACAGCCAAGCTGGTGAACAGCTCGACCTGGAGCTGGGCTGCTGTGAGTCGCCAGCAATGGCGTAGGCTGCAGCAGGGCTGCAGGGGTGCTGCAGTGAGCTGCCATGAGCTACGTGAGCAGCCAGCAGCCAGTGTGAGCTGCCGGGAGCCGCTGTGAGCAGCCAACCAATGACCGGCGACCAATTGCTGCCTCAGCCTGGAAGAGCACAATGATCATACCAACATGGGCCAGTGAAGCGATGTCCTCCACAACTAAACTGAAGAACAGAAACAGCAATTTGTCTACCTGTCTGTTCCCCTTCTCCGATTCCCCAACACTGTTCCTCTCCCCCCAATTCCCCAATTAAAAAAATAAATAAAAAATAAATAAATAATAAAAATAAATAAATAACAGAAAATAGGAAGTGTTGGCGAGGATGTGGAAAGCTTGGAATCCTCATACGCTGTTGGTGGAAATGCAAAGTGGTTCAGCGCTGTGGGAAACAGAATGATAGTTCCTCAAAAAATAAAAATATAATTTCCACGATTCAACAATTCCACTTATGGGTATATACCCAAAAGAATTGAAACCAGGATCTCAAAGATATATTTGTACACCCATGTTCATAGCAGCATTATTCACAACAAAAGGTGGCAGCAACACAAGTGTCTGTCCATAGGTGAATGGATAAACAAAATGTGGTATATACATACAATGGAATATTATTCAGCTTTAAGAAGGAAATTTGGACACATGCTACAACATGGATGAATCGTGAGGATATTAAGCTGGGAAATAAGCCAGTCACAAAAAGATAAATATTGTCTGATTCCACTTATATAAGTTACTTAACACTACTGAACTACACTTAAAAAATGGTTAAGGTGATAAATTTTATGTTATGTGTACTTTGACATGACTAAAAATTGTTTTAAATATATGGGGGAATAAAAAAGGAGGCTGAGGAAGGGAGGGTCAAAGGGCAGAACTCGTGGAGAAGCCTACATTTATAGGGTTAATAAAGGAATCAGCAAAGGTCACTAAGAAAGATGGGCACAGAAGCAGGAAGTAAGTCAAAGCGAGCAGAGCCATAGAAGTACAGGGATGGAGCGGTTTGGATAGGGATGAGGGGGGAGGGCTTAAAAAGAAGAGAGTAAGAGGAATTGGCATGAGCTGTCTGAAATGACCAGCTACTGAAGTTGCCCAACTTTATGACAAGGAGGGCCACTGGCATCAGACACTCAGGGTCACATTTTTCTCACTTTTATTTCTTTTTCAATGGTATTTTTGTGACAATTAGTTAACTGAACAGAAAGAAACATCCCACACTCCTTATCTCAATGTTTTCATTTTTTGGTTGAGGTGTTGTTAGAGTTATGTTATCTTGCGTCTGAAAGATACTGAGATGGTAATAT